TGCCATGTATTTCACTCACATTTTCACTTCTGCAGCTAATAAAATTCTGTAGCTATTTTGTTTTTGACGAAACAATTTGCCTTACGAAATTGCCAAGTAAATCTGTGAATTTGCCAAGGAACGGAAACAAACTTGCCGTTACGGAACGTGAACTGAAGTATTCATATCTTTTTTTTTCTCTCATTCATCGATCGATTTCCATAGTAAACTTTTGCACAAGCTGCTTTCCTTCACACGCGTAAAACGATCGTAAATTACAAACGCAACAACGTGCATTAGAAAAAACATCGATAGACTCGCATCAGCGCTGCACAACGTACGTACATATTCATACCATAAGCACGACGTCGAATTCACGCTCATGGTGTGAACCCTGTAGAAAACTTTTGTGTAGAAAATTGACGCTAGGGTAATGGTTTCTTCAGTTTACTTTTTTTTTTTACAAGGCGTACTCTACGCAGATTTCCGAGCTAACTAGGTTTTACACGGTGCCATGGTACTCGAGAATTTCAACGATCTTATAAACTTCGAGAAAATTGTATAAAATATTGAAAACTTAAAATCTTAAATAATTTAAATTTATAATTTTGCTAGTAAATATAGTTTCGAGATAGGTATAAATAATGAATTTAGTAAAATAATATGTAGTATTTAATGTAATATGTGTGTGTGTAAAAAACTGGTTACGAAATCTGTTTCTATTCGGAGTTACTGTATAGAAAGAATTGTGATGTATGAGACATTAATTGTGTTAAAAATCTATGATTACATCTCTATCCAATATTATACAAGAATGATCACACGTGCGCGCGACTTTGATGTGTGCATAATTCGTTGTTTCAATCACATTTGAGTCGTGAACAGTTGTAGAAAAACAGACAATGTGTAAAATTTTAAAAATGATAAGTTTACACGCACTTTTTTGAGTACCGTTGGAAAATAATACGGTGTGATTATAAGTAATTGTGATGATGCGTTACGTTATTTGACATTAAGAACGCAATAATTTAATAATGCGTAAAACATAAAAATTCACTTCTAATAGTAAAGTATATTTTTTTTGAAATAACGATTCAAGTACCGTGTCATCATGCAAGAACCGCATTGAGAAATACTTAACAGCGGATCATCTAATAGCGTTTTATTTAGCTTTGGACAGTCGTATGTTTCTTTATCCGTTATTTTATTTTATTTTTTTTTTTTTAATAGCTTTCGATCCTCGAAACCGGAAACGGAAATTATGAGTCTTTGTCAAGGGGAAGATAAATTTCAGACTATCAATTTGTCGTACTCAGTAACATGATACTTGACGAACGAGATTAATATCGGAGGATTCGCAGAATATACAACATGCAAATTTCTCATTCAAGTCTTTAAATTTGCTTTTGTAAATTGCGAGATTTCTAAAAAAAACTAATATAGTACGCTATATATGCCAGTCAAGCGTTTTTTTTATCGAGCGCGCTTGAAAAACAATTCTCGCGTCCAGCGTATACTTTCGCGGCGTTTTTTTTTTTTTTTTTTAACAGAACGATTGATATGTGAAATTTGAAACACACGTTCACGATCTTCGTTTCGTTTCACCGTTCCAGTTTGCATGCTTCTATTAATGTAGATAGATCGTAGCAAATTGACACACTTTGATCAGCCTCGAACGTTTATTTCTCGCAATGTACGATATTTCATTCGTGGTCATTTCTCTGCAACGCGAATATGGAGCGTAACTTTAATTTGGTTTTGTTCTTTCTTTTGTTTTTAATCTCGCGTTTCTCTTTCTCTGTCTTTCTGTCTGTCTGTCTCTCTCTCTCTCTTTCTCTCTCTCTCTCTCTCTCTCTCTCTCTCTCTCTCTCTCTCTTCCGCTGCCTATTTCACGCCGATAACAAACACTATATGCGTCCATTTCCGATTTCCGGATCTGTTTCCTTTTATGGTTTCTGATCCAATGCCGCTGTTTCACACGCAATCTATATCTCTCTCAATACAAAAACTATTCACTTCTGTTTTATTTTTTATTTAATAATGTCTCACTCTTGTCTGTTTAGCGTTTACGTTTATAAGGTTCACACGCCTCAAGTAGTTCACACGGATCTTTGTTTTTTTGTTTTTGTTTTTAAGTTCCTATAATCCTAAAATGTTACTTCTTTCTTCGTCTTTTGTAGTGCACTATTATAAGATGCGCATTATACGTACACACGTGTGTACGTTAATTTTCTTTCTATATACACGTAATATCTCTTGTGTGTATGTGAGTACTAAATACAACATTCCACGCCGCAGTTTATCTTTTTATCGGTTTTATCGCATAAGTAGATACCGGCTAAACAGTAATCTATCAGTTAGCAGTGGTAGTAAGAGTTATACAGCTTTTTTTTCTCTCGTTTTATATATATACATATATGTATATACATACATATATATATATATATAATTACTTTGTTCTTTCTCTCTCTTTTTCGCACTCGTCTCGGAGAGCACAGTAACAATGTTTAAATATTTATATTATATATAATAATAATGCGTACTCCATTAGGCCCGAACCCGCAGATTAATCCTAGACCGTTCGTACCGATTTAAACTCTATAAAAATGTCGATCATGCGGTCTACGACTATTCTACCATTGGAATGTTTTGACCCCTCTTGTACGCATCTCTTTTTCTCTCTTTCTCTCTCTCTCTCTTTCACTCTCATTCTCTCTCACTCTCACTCTCTTTCGTATAGCTCTATTATTTTATAGTATTTATATATTTATATAACATATCTCTAGAATGTGTGTGACGTATGGAGATGTAAAACAATGACAGAAAACTATGTTTCTCTTACATGAAAAATAGATACTTTTTTCTTTTTTCACTTTCTCCCCATCCTTTCTCATCCCTTCTTTTACACTCCTCGCACGTGTGTTATTTTTCGCCTATATATATATATATGTTTTATATGTATGACGTGTGTGCGTGATTTCTAAATTCTTCTGTGAAGACATATGTACAAGTGTTGTCGCGATAGATGTTTATACTCGTCAGCTATAGAAAAAATGATCAGCTCTTCCGATTCCTAATTGAGTTCGCGAATATATCCTTGCGTTATCGCGTAAATAAATAAACATGCAAGTGTTACTTCTAAAAGAAGATGACCGATTTACACATGAAAGGGAAAAGGGAACAAAAGCTTCTTTTGTATATTGAATCTAGTCTTTTAATAAGAAAAAAACTAAGTTTGAAACAAAATACACATGTACCGAGATTGATCAGTGTGATGCAATTTTGGCGTCAAACGTACTTGTATAAACTTATGGGTTTTTTTTGTATTGTAAATTAGTGTAAATTATTTAAGTAAAATGTCTGAGCTCCTGAGCTGGAAATGAATAATGATTTTATACAAACTCGTAAGTAATCGGTATTTAGTCGATGTCAAACCATTTCGCACGCTGCTGAATATTATATTTATCTTGCAACACGATAGTTTTTTAAACCTCTATGCATAATACTTCATATATATACATACATACATACATACATACATGTATATATATACCCTATTCCCTCTTCCTTTCTCTCTCTCTCTCTCTCCCTCTGTGGTGTTTTCTGTTGTTATTTATGTAGTCGCCTAATTATGCGGTAGTGGTGTAGTAATCATTGCAAGTAATAATCATAACAATAATAATAATTTATTACATAGTGTTTTCATAGCATTTTTTATAGTACATATCGCGGTTTTTTGTTTTTGTCTCATAAAAAGATACTTTGCTCGTGTTTTCGCTCGTTATATTCATTCATTGACATGAAAACCACAGCAACCCGAAGAACTCTCAACAAGTAAACACAGTCTTCGGGCTCTCGGTAACGTTTTTTTTGTAGAAACCGGTTAAATTCACGTAACAATCTTAATCAGTTTTTCTCACTCTTCCCAGAGGTGCTTGTGAAATTTCAAACTCACGATCTCAATCTCTCTCTCGCCAATCCCTATTTGCGTACCAGGACGGTCTATCGAATGTATCCGACACCGAGCACAACGTGTAATCATCACTCGGTTGTAAATGTCGTTATGATCTCAAAGCGAATGAAGACGATAGCAAAATAAAGTAGGTTTCTATCAAACAAGCGAATACCGAACGGAAACTTTTCTCTTACGTTCGTGAAATCAGAAAGAAGAAAGCCTTTTCTAATAAAAACATTAGCTTATCTCACATAAACTCCTTCCTCTTCTTCTTCTTCTATATTCTTCGTTTTCGCACGGAGTATTATATTACACGTTATAACATTCGTTTTTTTAATTCATTTACGCGGTTCTAAATGCAGTACGAAGCTAAGGATATCCGCATTGATTGAACTTAAATCGAAATACTCTGATCTTACATACGACGTACGAATTTTTGTTCTATATGTTAATTGTTGTCTTTGAAAAAAGAACATTCTAATATTTCTCATGTAGATTATAATATTTGTTTCTCTCCTAATATGGTGTGAAACGTCAACTTGCAAAATCACAGAGAATTACATGTCGTTTACACTGTTACTTAGGATTATACCTAATCTCTTTTTTTTCACAATGTGTGTGAGCTACATATTCTCTATAAACTTCTAGGCCTGCTCTTCGTCGTCTTTGAGATCTTCATTCTTCGCTGCGTCCATCCGTTTTTTCTGTTCTTTTTGATATTGCATCCGATGTAACGCGGCGATTATTCTCAATGAAGAGACACGGCATAAATTACGACTCCATGTTCTCCGACCACGATACAAATGTTCTTCTTCGTTTCGTGTTACTTCATCCTGCGTTAAAAGATTAAAACTTTTCACGTGTACTGCGTGAAGTGCACTTCGTCTCTGATCGTCCTTTAAAACAAGTTGAACAAAGTTTGAAAGACAAAGAACTGGTTTTTTTTTAATGCGAAAGTTTCTCCTTTATCCTTCAAACTTTTTCTCTTCGCCTCCAAGTTATATTTTAAAGTAATATGTATATATATATATATATATATATATATATGTTTACATCTTCCGTCAAAATTTTTTATATATTCCTTTTTTTTGCAATCGGTTTGCTTTTTTTATTCATTAATTCGAATGTATTTAATTAAATGTCGTTATATTCATTTTCTGCAAATTTGTATCGTGGTTAGAGTTATAAGAGACTCAAACGCGCGTCACGGTGGTTTTGCGGTCCCGGACGAAAATGCCCGTCAGATTAATATAAGAAGGCGCTATAAATCGATTGCTAAAGGACTACTGACATGGCCGATATTCTATATATAGACCGCTGCTATAGGATCGCCCGAGTACCGTATACACAAGACCACCAACAGTTCTATCGGCGCGCAAATAAGTCAAAAGTTCCAGCATTATATTGCGTCCCGCAACATGGAGTCGTTAGTATCTCTGCAAATGCTAGTAAAACGAGTGTCGTCATTGATACGAGTCCTTGTGGAAAGTATCGCTCTTGTGGAAGATTCTCCGTCCCTCTCTTGTGAGCTCCTGGCTCGCGAAATTGTTCTCAGACTTCGGTCTGGGCAATTGGCAAGTCGGCAGCGTTCTAAGCTCCATACTGTGAACCTGAAAACGATGAATTTCACAGTGACATACATGCATCTCTATTCAACTTTCATAATGAAGAAAACTTTAGCAACAGATTCGTGTTGTTCTGGTTATTTAGTTCGGTTTACTTTGTTTGCCGCTTCAACGAGTAAGATAATATCAACAGAATAATATTATGCGCGCAAAAGAGAAAAATTACTTTCTTCTGAACTAGAAAAAAAAATCGCGTATATTTTGTGTTTATTTCATTTATAACTTTTTATGCTTTATTCGATCGTGTACTTACTGACTCTTCGCTGGCACTTGCATGCGCAGCTTGTTCCGCGAGCGCATTTACCACAGCGTTTATCGTTTTTGATTCGCTTCCAAGATCCTCTTCGCGATGAGCCACCAAGTTGGGGTTCTTTCCGATTTTGTTCAACCTACAAGAAGGAGAGCATGATTAAGCGTAGGGAATGTTGCACGCGGCATAACCAATTATTATTCACACCAAATTCTACACCACTTAGCAGCACAGCGCGATTTTTCCCCGTTTCGTGGCACTTTACCGCCCTTTTGTCGCTTATCATCTGTTTGCAACAATCATTATTACTTGTTCCAATACTACTTGCACTGCTAAGGTAGTTGAATGAGAAGTAAACTGATAATAAGAAAAATTAACTTTCTTTGACACACTTCTCACGGAGTTTTCTTGATTTGTTGTTACAAGTACAAAAACGGCAAGTATGTTCTTTTTTGTATTCCTTACAAAAATTTTATATAACATTAATCGAGATTACAGAAGTGTTTTGATTTAATATTAATATAATTTTTTTTTATAATCACATAAGTGCACACAAATGACTCCGTAAATGTGTGACAAAAAAATGATATTTCAAATAATTTATAATGTATGTTATGCCAAATTATAATATTACTGTAATGAATGTGTCGAGAGTGTAATACTTTTATCACGGTGTTAAAACTAGAAATCGTTTAATTATTTATTCGAGTAATATCCGAATTTCAGGTATGCATCAATTGTGTCGGATATAGCCTCGTACATCTCTGCATAATAAACGGAAGATTTCGAATAAATTTAACCCTCTCAACTCATTGTACGTAACAAGTTAGTGCGCTTTTCATCATAGGCAAAAATTCGTCTCAGAATTCCAATTCTCTGCACTGTCTCGAGATATAAAAATTGAGAGATCACAAAAAAGACTAATATAATAATTCTTCTATCTCCGTATATTATTTCTCTTTTTTTTTTTTATCAAAAAAAATTATTTTGACATGTGTGTGTATGTTTGTGTAAAACAAGCGTCAAACTCTAACAATACGAAGAATATGTTGAGAAGAAAAAGAGAGAGAGAAAGAGAGAGAAAGAAAAAAAAGAGAAAGAGCGACATGATTTCAACAGCGAATGACTGATCTCCGTTTTTTTTTTTTTTTTTTTTATTTTTTTTTTTTATTTTTTTTATCGGACAGTACAATGCTCAAATAAAGTAAATGGAAGTGGAAGTGATGATTGACATCTATTAGCACACCAACTCGATAGAACAAACCTAACCAAAGCTTATACCTCTCGGCGGCAACGCTCTCCATCGTTCTGCGCATTAGCGGATACTGGTCCAGCACGGCGTTGAAATGATCCACCGAGAGGCTGAAGAGATTGCAGTAAGTCTCCGCGCGGACCGAGGCTACTCTTCTCGCGTTCGTTAACAGACAGATTTCACCAAAGTAGGACCCGTCCGACAACGAGGTCGCGACCTCGCCGTTAGCCATCACAATATCGACTATGCCTTCTTGTATGAAGTACATTTTTGACCCGATAGTACCTTCCTTAATGATGATATCACCTGCAAAAGTTCATTTTTTTCATGGCTCACGTACGAGTTTCGAGCGACGCGCGAGAAAATACCTTTCCCGTAGCGTGACGCTTTAAAAAGAGATGCTTTTATTTTTGTGATAGAAAATACATTTTATGTAATGACGACAATCGATACCTGGCTGGAAGACTTCGTATCTGAGTTTCGTCACGACATCCGAGACGAAATTCGAATCGGCGTTGGCGAAAAAGGGCACGGATGCCACGAGGGATCTGCAGTTGTAATTTATAACATCCTAAAAGTAGAGCAAGTAGTTTTTAACTGTTATTGTTTTGTTGTTTCAAATTAAAAACATTCACAATCTTACAATATACTATTATAACATCATCATTTTGCGATACATTTTTTTAACTATAGAGATATAAAAAACGTAACGTTTTAAACGAGACAATTTAAACCCAATCTAATACTAATTAAGATGAATTCTCTCCCGTACTTCTCTCAATTTTTCCGAGAGCTCTCCAAGGATCAGCTCCTCATCGAAGAACTTTCCTTGGTATCGATGCTCAAAGTACTCCGTGATCCTCTGTCTCATTTCTCTCGGTAGTTTTCGATAGGCCATGTACTCCTCCACTTGTTTTACCTAAAGAGAGAAAGAGAAAGATAGGAAAATTGAATTTCCGTCATTGATCTTCTTCGGGCGATTCGTCTGCGCGTTATATCTATCTATCTGTCTATCTATCTATATACCTTCTCACGATACTGTCTTCTCGAAGAATCGAGAGATTGAATGAGATTTGTCGCGTGGCCGAGGAAAAGAGCGTAACATGTCGCACCGCTGATCATGCTGAGCATGGTCAGCCACATGTCGGTCAAGGACTGAGGCGGAAACCTACCGTACCCGATACATAGCATGTGTGACATGGCTTTGAACAAGGCCCACGAGTATTGTTCCAGCCAAAACGAGTCCTGTAAATATAGCCATCGGGTAACACCGAGAAATGCCGTTTAACTTATCGATCACCGAACCGAAAGTTGACAACTCGTACTCACTTGTAACTCGTTAATGGCCACCCATGAATTACTGGGAAATCCTTGAAGCATGGGGACCAGGAATTGCAGACAGCCACTCCAATGGCCAATCAGGAGCATCATACAGATCAGGTTAAAAATCCGCATAAACACCGACGCCATATTCAGGAACTGCCAACAACAACGTTAGAGCTTTACTCTCGCATCGGACCGGGAGTGTCGGAACGTTTCTCACACATTGGGGTTTTTTCTTTGTTTTTAATTTACTCCGTTTATCCAAAGCTCTGTTTGCGTAGTGTTCAGCAAGTAAGCGAGTGTTGCACAAAAACGCGTTAGATACATATTTTGTTGAGTATGTTCTATTATTGTATCTGTTGCTTTTTAGGTTTTTGGGAGAAAATACTATATGACACACCAGGATCCGTCACTAAGATCCGTCACAATTATTGTCTCGAAGTTTCGCACGTGTTTTAATTCCACAAAGTAACGAGGTGTTTTAACTCTTTGAGCGGTAAATCGTTCTTTTCAATAGTAATTTATATGCGTTTGACGCATTTTAAAGATAACGAAATAACCGATCGAAGAGCTAAAATCTTTATTATCGAATACGTATGTGTATCACACGAGCAAGAATGATAATATTCAGATCTTAGCGTGGATACAATTTGCGCAAGAGTGTTGTATTTTTTTCTTCTCGTAAATTGTCATCGCTGTTCGTGAGACACTTTCTTTCTTTTTTCTGGTCCGTTAAGAAAAGCATGCTACATTAGAAAATACGCATCACGTGGCACAAACACAAAAGAACAATTCAATGTAACCTAAAGAACAGTTGGTAATAAATAACTGATTACTCTACGAATGCTCTAACAAAAAATATCAATCATTTGCAACTGGTTGGGTCAAGATTCTCAAACCGCTTATGCGCCAGATCTAACACAAAGACAAGACGAAACACGATCGACGTTACGTTTCAATCATGTCGATGCCAATCCCATTTGGTTTTTTTCGTACACAAATTGTATTAGTCATTCGGCTTCATCGTGCGCATTAAGTACGATATGGGAATCCGTCCGTTTTAACTAAAATAAAAAGCCAGAGAACGCGGAGAATATTCCGAGAGGGAGAGAGAAAAGGACTGCGTTGTCTTTCGAGTTGAACCCTTCGAGAGATTTGTTTAGAATTTTTATTTTATTTTGTCAACAGTTGTCAATTCGGATAAAAAGACGCACTGACTTTGTTCTCGATTATTAACATGCGCGATCAAGTGCGATTTGTTATTTTCTCTTTCTCTGATAATATTGCGCGTCAAAGTAAAATATTATCGCACGCAATTAACTTTTCTCTCACGCACAAGCTCTATTTTTAACAAAATTTTTTTTTGCATGGTTCATTACACAGTGTTTCAAAAGTAGAGATCAATCTCTTGCGAGGTGATTAAAGACTCATAAGCAAGGACAATTTTTTGACAAAACAATTTGAAAGCAAAGTAATTTCACATTTCAACATAAAAATGGTGATATTCAAAAACAACGCATTTTCCAGACTTACGTTGTCAACTTTTTTTTTCTTATTTTTAGATCTTCAATCACCTCTCGAGCAAGTAACCTCTGCTTTTGAAACAGTCCGTATATGTGACAAGTAATATCGAAATCTCGTAGGTTTATCTTTTCACTTAATCTTATCCACATAAAATTACACATTTCTACCAGATGAATTTCACACCCGCGCGATTAAAATCTTATCTGGCAATTTTATTCTCGATCCGAGTGTGAAATAGAACGTTCAAAGTCAACCGAGCACTTAAAGTGTAAATTAATTAATTTTTTCTATGTAGTTAAAAATCAGCGAGTGCAAAAATTTGCTCGAAGAGTTGCGGTTCGGAGTCTCAGCGTTCTCTCGTTAATTGAGAGATAAGGACAGAGATTATCTAAGGATTGTTGAAGGTGTGGTTTATGTTCATGGATATGTACATATCGTATTGGTATACGTGGTGGCGAGAGATGACATATATAATCTGTTCATCTCGCACGTATTCGTGTCACAACAAAACACGCGATACACGCGTCGCAGTAATGAGTATGTCACATGCACCGCAGTTGCCGTGTTCGGGAAATTCTCGAACCTTCTCATAGATATATGTGTATACATAATATATACCGACGGCAAATAAATTTCCAATGTCACTTCAGAGATGTAACGAAAATTTCCCGATTCCGGAGTCGTTATATGCGGCGGTGAAAACTGAATTTTTTGAACGCACTTGCCCAAACTACTCGCAAGTAGTTAAACTCAACGTATTTTTTTTTATTGTACCAATCAAATGTTCAATAATCTCCCGTATTCATAAATGATAAGAGTATAATTGTTCGCAATGAAGAAAACTTGTGAGAATTACTTCCACTTAAACTTTCGCAGTGAAACAATTGAGATCCTCGAGAGATAAGTTAAAGGAGGCAAACTTAAAACTTTGGTTTGTCTTTTTCTTTTGGTGATCTTGCTGAGTCCTGGGCAATTGCGATATTGATGATCTTGAAATCGTACGGCAGTGGAACCTGTTTCCTTTCATAAAGATAGTTACGTAATTATTTTTGCAAGAAGACAGTTGCGAAGAATCGCAACAACGCCCGTATTGCCGTAGGATTTCGATGAACCACGGAGTTCTGGCTATATAGTTTTTTTTTAAGAGAATGGGGTAAAACCATTAGGCGGGAGGTACTGATATCTATCGGGTCAGTTATGATAATATTCCACGAATGATGATCAACGGTACTTGGTTTCTGCGCCTACGGGAAAAACAAGTAAGAACACGGAGAAAACTTATTGCTAGCCACATATAGCTCAAATACATTACCTGGTTCTACACGAAATAAGGATCGCGTGATGTACACGAGTGCGATGCACGCATATATATCACACGTCCGAGGATTAATGAAACGTCAGTGCTTACGACGCAATGAGACGTACATATATGCGCGTGTGTGTGATGTAACTTTGATTGAATAAATAGAACAGAAAAAAATAAAGACTGACAGATCAAAACACAAAAACGATACATATATTGTACATATAACTCAACATCAACCTTCTCTTCCACGAGACACAGGTCGTAAGGTCCAGTGAAGTTAAAAGCTCGATCTGTTACATGTTATATCCCACGATGACGAGTAAACAATCAATAAGTCAGCGTCAATCATTAATTGACAAATGGCAATTGTGAATGTGGCAACAACAAACATACTAAATATACATACATTGAAACAAAAACTAAATAACGCAAAAGACAAACAACGGGAAAACATCCGAGACAAGAAATGAAAAATCTCACGAAAGGAAGAATATGTTTGTCGTGGGTGAGAGTTTTTTCGCACTTCGAGACGTTTTTTTTTTTCGAGTGATCATGAAGCGTTACAATGAAAGACGACGAACATAAACGCAGCGAGTCAAATGATCGTGTTTGTCAAAAAGCGGCGCAAGCCAAGCCACGAAGCGTGACAGCGAGATTTCCTTATTTCTGCCATCATCTGGTTTGTACGTTCGCTTTTTCTTGATCGATTGCAAAAGCACACAAATAAGCCAGTCATGTTACACACAAAAGGAGTGCGATTTTTTCTCTTTAGCCGAGAAGCAGCAGCGGGGAAAGTACTTTAGCAAGAGCGAGCGGTGAATAAAGGCGCGCGGTCTTCGCAGGATTGTTACCGCAAAAGGTGAGAATATTGTTCGCAGAGCAGCGGCGGGGGAAACGAGCTCTCTACTCTTCATACACAGTGCATCCTAAATTGTTGTTTTATTTTGTAGCACTTGCGTGCGTTTAAATTTGTGTGTGTGTGTGTGCGTGTTTGTGTTTGTGTTGTATGTTTCACACATATTTCCCTCTGTACTTTCTCTAAAGATAGCGAGATGCACCTCGAGTTGTGTATGATAGTAAAGTGTGCGTTGATTTTGCAACAAAGCGACAGAGAAGGGACGCCCAATCACGTGCGCTCGTTTTTCACAAGATCGTGCACACCGTCTAGCGATCAAAAGCGTTTCAAAAAGATAGTGCGTTAGAGACAGGCTGTTTGCGATCAGATCCATCAGAGAGAGTCATTGGAACACAGGGAGAGGAACCATATACGTAGCGGAAGGAATACGTTCTCGGGGATACGTTCGAGAGAGAGAGAGAAAGAGAGAGAGAGACATACAACAAACAATTAAACAAGAGGAAATTAGAAAATGACAGACAATATAGAGATATATATATATGTAACATATATCATATAAAGAAACGGAGAGAGAGGAGGGATTTCAACAAGTATGACTATCGTTCGAGTCGGACGTGCTACGCCGTACGTAATACTTTTTGACTTTTAACGAACTTCCGTTTCTTCACTTCCACATAGAGCAGGTGTCGAATATCGCGCTGATCAATCGACGATCGTCGGAAATCGGGACTTGTACATACTTGTACTTGATGTGACGACGGCCTTGCGGGGAGCGCGAACATAGCGCACACACTCGAAATAATCGGTTTTGTTCTTTGTCTGTATAAAAAATTCGTGGGTCTCTAGAGAATTATATTACACATACAATAGTTACATGTACTTTCGCATCGCTAGGCGGGTGCCGATGGTGAATGTATAGAAGCATAGCCTATTGCTGCGGGTATATAAATGTATAATGTATAATGCGGCGGAAAGAAAAAGCTGAATGTTTGTAATAAACCAACGAGCCAATCAGCGTAACAGCTCTTCCGTCCAATTAACCTCGTCAGCTCCGTTCTTAGTCTTACACGAGACATCGATAGTATGGCAATCGATCGGTCCAATCCATCCATCGTTTTCAACGTGACACTATAAATTTCGAAAGTGTTCCTCCCTCCGGAAAAAATTAATGAGACCAATTTAATTCAATGATTCTTATGAAAAAATGTGTGCCGGCTTGAGTTTTCAAGAAAAACTCCCAAATGTTTTTCTTCCAAGTATTGTATTAATATTTTTAGCAAAGTGCGATGTGCGTTGTAAAAAAAGCACTTCTGCAAATATAACATTCAAACAGTTTTACAGTAGAATACTATTTTCTCTCTTAAAAAGTCATTATTATTATACAACGTGAGTAATAAGTTTTTTTATCACAGGGGATTTCATTCTTGATAGCCGTACTAATCAGACATTAGCATTAAAAGAAGAAGGTCGGGAGAATCGACTTCCTTCTATCGAGTCTCGCGCGGAAACCGAATCAGGGAATTGCCGAGGTTGATTCGCGGTGCGAATCGAACGGACATGAGCCTTGCGCGTTTCGTTCAGGGCGGGTTACCTTAAAAATAAGGTCGCTTTTGCTGAAACCGGACTTCTTTTTAGTCATATTGTCAGAACTTAGGCGCCCCCTCCGCTCAGTGCGTTTTTTTTGTAGGTTCTGCAATATCTAGAAACAAAAGAAAGCGGGACATAGCAGACGTAGTAAGAAAAGGGCAGGTTAATAGAAATTTCAAAAGAAGGGAGCAAGAGAGGTAGATAGAAGTAGTATATAGTGATAGAAAAGTTTTGAAGAAAGGAAAGAGAAAGAGAAAGAGAAAGAGAGAATATGAGAAACGGAATGAAAGTAACAGGAGAGCGGGAAAGAGAGAGAAACGTCAGTGTATAGTTAATAGTAATTGGATATATATTAGTCAAATAGCTGCAAGATATTAAAAAGACAGCGATACAGTGACGAAGAAGTAAGAAGTAGTACAAGAGCAGATATTGTAAGACAGTTGTGAGATCACTCTTCTTTTTTTTTTTCTCGTCTCGTCGTAGAGGGGATCGAAATTTGAGTGTGCGCTATAGTGATAATCACGTCAACAAACGCTGAAAGGCGATCCCTAAACGTATCGTTTTCTTTTATTATATATCACACAAATTGTTTGTCAAAGAAATTATTACTCGATATTACTAAAAGTAGGTTTACGTAGTGTTATACGTACGATTCACGTGACGATTTCTCTATTGTTGATATTTGTCGACGAACTTAAGAGAAAAAAAATATAGGAACAATTTAAAAAAATGTATTTCTTATATATAATACATGTCCCATGTTTTTCCTTCTATCCACCCTTCTAAGTCTGCTACGATACCGGTGAATATATACAAAAAATATAAATTAAAACAAACAATTGTATCAAAAGTATGTTAAAATACATCGGTCAGTAGGAACTTACATTTCGCTTGCGATCTTGTCCGGAAATAATTGATCGCGATGAATCGTATCCAGTAAAGTGTGAGTACAAGAGCGCAATTAAAACAAAGTAACGATTTCAATGATATGAGCGAGTGTGCGCACGCGAAAGTACAAAGGAACACGGCAAGTATAATAACAGTAACGTAAGAATATAACAGTTCGATGATCCGTGAATTAGATAATTAGTAATTATAACAAGCCATTCGTTAGTATCAAAGCTGTCGAATCAGCAGTCGCGCGCCAAGCGTGAAGCCGCACTTTCCTTTCAAAAGCTCGAATAAAGCTCGATGAATTACATAGCGAATATATATATATATATATATATGTACGTATATGTGGAATTGTGGTAGATTTATTTATACGGATTGTTAAAAAAAAAAGAAAAAAAACATAAAACCGCGATTAATACGTGAGAGATCATATTTTGATTTCAAACGCGTTTAAAATCTATTGAAATCCAGCACGCAAACATATAATCGACTTTGGTAAATCTCAATATTGCAGACTTCATTTTTCGTTCGCGGTATCGAACCGATTGAAAATTTATGAAAATTTAAACAGAAATTATAACAAACAATTTTAGATTGTTTTTTTACACGTAGTTAATTACTCATTTCGAATCCCTAAAATGAACGCTTTGATTAATAAAATTGAATTAAAAAAAGGAAAACAATCGAAGAAACAAGAGTGTGCAAAAATTATATACGTATCATTTTACGTACGTTTAAAAACAATAAAAATTATACATTTCAAAATATCGGTGATACACATAATAAATATATTGCGGTTTTAGCTTTAGTCTATGAAATTCATAATAATGAGAGCAAAATTTGTGTGAGAGATAGTGACGTAACAATTCAGCCCTTTCCGGCAATGTGCGCGCATCGCTGCTCTGCTGGAAGAAATAATCTGTGACGGAGAGAAAAAATTTTAACAGTTAAGATACCTGGAAAACAACAAACCCTCCCACCTTTCTGAAAAATTTCATGCAAAAACCGTAAGGCGGGACGAAAGTTTGGAGTGAGATTGTCTCGGGAAATTGAGTTTTTTTTTTTAAACAAATAAATTTTTTTTTTGTATCTAAATCGTCGTAAAGTAATTAGAAGTGAGACAAACAACATACTGGCACATCCGATGAAATTGTAACACACAGACATCACAAGATACGCTTGTTAATCAATTTCGAAATATCGATCATCACACATCAACTCGTCGCATCTCTGTATTTATGTAATATCGTAATTATGGCAAGTAATTATGGTAAGATAGAAACACGCAATTGGCGGTCGTATTAAAACGCGTGAAAATCATTACGCGGACGTGTAATCGCGCGTTTCTGCGTGACAATTATGATTTATCGATAAGAGACGATAGTAACTTCGCGCGGATAGATTTTAATTTGTATATTAAAAGCAAAAGCGGCCACGGCTATTATCGTGGCGACACGCTGCTGCACGGCCGTTAACGTTAATGTGCATGTTCACAAAAGCACCACTTCGTGTTTCTTATCTGATATAATTACGATTTAAAAAGAACACTTGAATGTGCACTGCGGAGAATGTCTTTGCGTATTTCCAAAGAGCAACACACATTACGTTATTTTTAATTAAGTAATTGATTAATTAATTAAAAACCGGATGTATAAAATTGAAAGTTGTAATTATGTTATTGTAAGTTCAAAGAAACGTAGACACAGATATAAAAAAAAAAAAAAAAACAATTTCTATATTTGTCTCGGTTCAAATATTTACTAATGAAATGAATAAGTACTAATTTTCATTTGAAGAAACCAAAAATAATATCCTCTGTTTTTCTGTCCCTTTTCTTTTTACATAATTCTTAGATATTTTGATTTTGTATCTTTATATCTTACCTGTATGATTTTGGTGTTATTATTATAGTTTTAGAAGTTTAATTAACGAATGAATAAAAAATAATCTCTAACTTCGAGAATTATAAATCAAAATACAAACGTGAACACACAAAGATATTTCATGCGTTTATTTGTGTTTTGCTATCTAATATTTTAGAGAGTATTTTAAGAAAGATGTGTGCTCTGAAGTCACACGTGTGTAAATATATAATTTCTTAAATTGAGATCACAATCATTTAATCACTTAAATTGAACGTTGCGTGACAAGTGTAACTCGACCAAAAACTACAGGAAATGTAACGTAACAAAGAAGAGATAATAAGTGAGGACCGTTCTCTTTCCAGATTTAATCTCTGACAAGTAATCGATCGTCTTCTCTTTTCATTTCCTTGTCTTTTTTCCCCAAAAAATGATAACATACACATCTTTGATACATATATATACACGTGTATATCCCGGAAATGAAATATTCACCTCTTTCCAAGAAGTAACGCATTCTTCGTCGTAGAAAATTTTCCTCTTGTTATACAACAGATCGAAATTGACCTACGTCATTAACGATTTGCCGTATGTAATAATCGCAGAGAAAAACGTCAATTTTCAAGACAAGCCATAGATGTGAAAAACACGCGAAAGAGAGGAAATATATCATATCTCGTTTCCGCTATGTAAGTATACTGTTAAAATGACCACGTTCTTTTGCGTACTTCCTTCGCTCTTATCAACAGCAGAAAAAAAAGCCAAAAGGAAAGACCACGCTGAAAAAAATATCATCGTTGAATATTATAATAAAAAAAAAAACCACGTCTCCGCTGTTTTCTCGGGAACAAAGCCACGAGAAAAATACGACGGTACACACGAGAATATGTATATGAGCAGAGGAAAGTACCAACGACGACGTCTGCGTAAGATATATATATTCTCTATTCTGGCGGAAGTAAAATGTCAATAATGAAACATACGGAAAACGAAACAATCGGAATAAATCGAATCAATTTTCTCCTTGTTAAAATCAGGCACATATCTAAACATGAAACAACAAGCAATTAGACGAAAATTAAGGACAGTAAAATAATATTTTTTTTTTTGGAGAGGGAGAAGGTGCTTGCTATAAGTCCTCCATAGGAAGAGGAACAATTGGGAGAGAGGAGAGTAAACTCTGTTGGAAAAAGAGAAATAAAACTGGGAGCACACATTGAACACGGGCACATCGCCAAGAATAATTCTGGACAGAGATAGGGTTAATATACACCTAACACTCACAGGCAGACCTACGGTTAGACCAACCAACTTTCTCGTCTGTAGAGCGGTTCGTGTCGAATGCCTCGTAAAGATGCTTTATCAAGAGATTTAGATACTTTTTTTTTCTTTTTCTATCTTTCTTTCTGGTTTTACTTCTACTACATTTTATTTTGAGAATCCAAAACTATCAGATATCTATTTTGCGAATTTAATCACACATTTCGCTTGAAAACGCAAAAGACTACGGATAGTCAAATATTTAATTTGATTCTTAATCATCACCGTAACCTCATGCGCTACCATTGTCAAGAAATGGTGCATCCGTTATATATACATATATATGTATGTATGTATATATATATATGTGTATACTATTAGTACAGTTTACGTACATGCACACGTATCTAGATTATGCAGAACTGTCGCTGAAGTAACGTCGATAGTCGCTACTGTACGGTAAATGTACATGCGCACCTATGTATATATATATATATATCAAGCCAATAAAGTTATGCAGCTTATGGGGTCGATGATAATCGAGAATCGAGAAATTCGATGTCAGGCATGCCGTTTCCACGGCGATATTAGAGCGCGAGTGTGTGGTGATAATATTTCGCGATTACGCGACTAATGAAACACGTAGGATAGGTATTCGACACGACCGAGTTCACAATAATGACTATTCGTAAACCAAAACTCATGTTAGTATACCTAGCAAAACGAAATTTTTCAACAAAAACAACCCGACAAAAACAAGATATACATCTCATACCAAAAAACACCGTTCCCAAAGAACTTTGGCGAGGAGTCAGTCATACCGTGAAACATGGATTTCAATAATATATATGTAAGTCATATATATATGTACACATGAAAAACATCACCACTCTAATATTGCAAGCATTATCATTCTTTATTGATCATACTGATATCTCAGCTAATACTGCGTCTAAATCTGTGATCCATGTCACACATTGCATCGCCAAGACTACGGGACTAAAGAGCAAAACTGATCAAGAGCTTGTTGAAACGTGTATGACTGCATTTGTTGTTTAAAAAAAAAAACTAGTCGCAACCATTGATCGTGTGTGAAACGGAGTAATGTGGCAAAAATTTTGATATTGTTTCCACTAAAATATTATCATAATGTTATTTTTTTTATTAATTACTTCATAGTTTTCATTTACTTTATTTGAGAGTTGATGATAGTTGGAATTTATAGAAACCACATTGGTTTATAAAGGGCAAAAGCAAGGAAAACAGGTTTAATGATATTGTGATAGTCTTCTCTTAGATTCATTTCTCAATCTGTTCACATCTCTTTGGGAATGTTTGATAAAGCTCTTGATCGGCTCTCCGCTACGTTTTACAAACTTGGTCTATGTCGGGCGTGTTAATTTGTGTAAAGAAAAAAAAAGAAAAAAAAGGTTTCCTCGTACCGACTGACTGCAAATTACACGACAAGACTATGCACGTTCTCTCTATGAAACTCAACGCAAAACGAGAAATATGACCACAACGAAACGACAAACGGTAATCAGAATAATTCATAATCAACAAGTAACAACGAAAAGAACGATAATATAGTGAGTAATAATAATAATGATCTAGCGTATATTTATACGTAGAAAACAACACATTGAGGTTGTGTTAACGAACGCTTGAATCAAGAAAGGGCAATTGGCCTTGGTTTCAGGGTTACTAGGCAGGCACACCTTGCTGGTTCGGTCTGGTTGGGGCGGTGTCGCCCGACGCTCGTAGTGTCTCTCCGGCTGTTGATAAAGGGGGATCTGCAAACCCATTCGGAAACGTGTTCTCGCAGTACGCCTAGTAGTTCAATTGTATATAGTTTCTTTGTGTATGTGTTTGTGTATACATTAAAGTATATGCGTGTGTTTGTTGTATGCGAATTTGTAAGAATGAACAGTAGAATGGATATAAAAAGACGAATGATATAAAAGGAGAAACTAGAGGATTATCAATATCTCACGTATTTGATTGCTTGTAAAAAAAAAAAGAGTGAATGATTGAGAGAGTGACAAGAAGTATACTAGAATAAATAGAAATATACTTTTACGTCAAGTATGAAGCACGACTTAATAATCGCACGCGCGCGTGCGACCATTTTTTATTTCAATAAGACGTTTTAATTTTTCATTTTACATAATAATCGATTTAATATAAATTTTTTTTTTATTAAGAGATATTTCTCCTATATTTGACCTCATTCTATTTTTCGTGAATTTAAAGCAAAAAGTTGTATAGTTGTATCTTATTTCGTTTTCATATCCAATAAACGGTAAGTTGTTACGAACGATATATCGGTACGTACACGTGTAACAAAACTATTGCATTTAGAACGCAGTATTTCCCTCGTGCATATACGTTTCTATTTTTTTTCTTTCTTTCTTCAGCGTATCTGGTTTGTACAACAGAACAGAACAGAGAGGAAAAAGCAGAGGGAGGCAATAGTATGTTTCAAGGCAAGCAAGTATAACAAGATTTTCAGCGAATGACAGATTGTTTCTTTTGATTGGACGAAAAGCCTGATTGATTCGTTGGTCTCTTCTCGCTGTGCCACGGTTTTACGCTAATAGCGCGCGAGCACAAATATATAACATACACAAGACGTTACCCCATGTAAAGAACACAATAGCCGGAACGTGCTCAAGCACCGAAAGATAGCAATAATTTCTCAAATCAATTACGCAAACAATTAATATGCATCTGCAGAGTTTATTCGTCGTATATGATTGAACTGACAAAATAATAAGTAGACATCATCGCCCGTAGATTTTACTGCTTTTTTTCCTCGATTTACTTTCTTATTAACTTAGAATACTCGGAAAATTTAAAGATATCTTTCTCTTACCATCTTTCTTCCTTACTTTATAAATGCGACAGCTACGCCGCAATATTTCACTCGAGTTGAAGTCTATTTGAAAAAAGAAAAAAAAATAACAAAGTATATTTCAAATACGATAAATAGAAATATTCGAGAGAACTTTTACAAGAATCCGATTCGACTTTTAATTGTTCTTTTATATTCATTTTGTTTCTCAAAAACTGACTTTCCGATCAATCGATAGAAATATTCGTCGCTTCGATTATCGAGTGATGACATACACCTGCTTGAAAGGGTAGTTACTTACCCTCGGTCGACACATCGTATCATTAACGTGCGTAAAATCATGTGCGTTAAAACGAAGAGCAAAATAAAGTACGAGTATATAAAAGTACGAATAGCGAACAGCAACAATTATTGGTGCATCAAAAACGACAATGAAAAGTATAATATAATAAAAATGTTGTCATAGTGTGTGTGTGTCACACGAGAAATTGATTTTGTATCGAAGTTTTTTCCTTTTAACGATATAACACTAGCGATGATTCCGCGATAACACGCGCGATTGCGCGTGCACATTTTTCCTTGTTTTTCCTCTTCTTTTTACTGCATTTTTATCGCGTTATCTGTCTTGTTGTATATACCGCGATAATGTACGTTTGAGTTAGACGAGAGGTATTATTTATTATTATGATCATTATCTGTTTATCCTGCTCTCGACGCAGTTAAGACGATCGAACAAAGAGAGAACAGCTGACTGCATTTTACGATTATCGTCGTGAGAGAGAAAGATAGGAGTGCGGAAGGAAAGGAGGCTCTCTTGTAAAGTAAGAAGTTTCAGGGTATTACGGGAATATATATATTGAACAGAGCCGTGGGGACATTCATATATATAATATATACATACGTACGTACGTATATAAAATATTCAGCAACAAAAAGCGAAACATGATCTAATACTCTGAAAGTTTTCAGATTGAAAACATTCCCTGCGCAGTGATAGAAACTGAAAATTTTTAAAAACGCTGAAAACGTAATTTTGTCAACAAAATGTCATCCTATTACTTCCACTGCTTACACATCTATGAAATACATATATATGTATGTATATATACATGGATATTATGTGTATGTGTGTATAAATATGTACGTATATACACACAGACACACAAAGAGAACCTGATTTTTTGCAAAGTTTCCTAATATAAAATTATTATAACGACGACATTGACAGTACGGGTAGAGGACGTGATATTTTAGCGGAACGAGCGCAAATTCGAGACACTTGACAAATAGAGAAATTGTCTGCAGGAGAATAATCACCACCGACGTAAGAACTCAATGCCCGTAACTCAATGTGAATTGCTATTGTGGTTAAGTACAAAATTTCCACGTAAACATAAAATATAGTAGTGGGTCGTTTCCTCTTTATCTCTGTTTCTTTAACGGCAATCGTATATAAACGTAATTATCGAGTATACGCCGCGTTTATCACGCGGAAGATGATAAATGCGATTGAAGGATCCACAAAAACTGACAATCGACGTTAATTAACTCTCATTAAACCTCATTGTCTGCAAGAAAAGTAATAGTAATTTCGTAGGTGGAAGATCGTTCATCAACTTCCTGAATCTTTTAAAGATCATCACAGATGTGCTTCTCTTTCTTTTTCATGTACATTAAATTACACGAAACTACATCATATATGGTATGCGGGATGAGAACGGTACTATATATAGATATATAAAATAAAGTAGCAGAACACTCACATAGACCTCTTCCCACTGCGAGACATACCGCACCAGTCTTGACAAACGTAGTAACCTAACGAGTGACAACAATTTTGCAAGCCTGAGAATCCTGAGAGCACGTCCAGCATGCAGGATCGTAAAAGAGTCGCTGAAGTCCTGAAACTTGCGAATTTGTTTGTTACTGTAATATTTGACTTACCATCTTTGCGTTAACTACGTTATATATATTATATTTTTGTGCATTTGTTCTTTCCGGATTTGCAGTTTTGTTTTTTCTTTTTTTTTTAATTGTACATCTTTACATCTTTCCAATATTTTCACGACTTATAGTCAACGTATCCCATACGAATAAAAGTAATAAAAAATAAAAAAGAACTATTAAAAAAATTATTACACATAAAAAAGAATTATTATTTAAACAAGAAAAGAGTAAAATTAAAACTTTTGTATTTATCAATACTGATATATATATATATATTGTTTAATATGTTATATTTTAATATTACTTTATATTTTTTTCTTAGATTTTTTAAACTTTTTTTATTTTACAGTTTTATTTCTACTTCACAATCATTATGCGTGTATAAAATTCATGAAAATAGAAATATGTTAATTTGATATATGACGCAAGTGATTTCAAAGATGCTTTTATGATGTTTTTTCATAATATGGCAAGATAACAAATTTACAACATAATGGTAGGATCGTTTCACTAAGTCGTACGATGCGGAAGATGTACTTACTTGATTGAATATGAGAAAAATGTAGTCTAATGGTATAGAGGAGATAAGGTCGAGAAAGAACCACGTCCTCAAGTAATGTTTTGCGATTAATTTCGGATCCAATATAACCTGCTCGGCATTATCCTGCTGCATTATACCTGCAACAACAGAATCACGCTGTAAAATTGTTTTAGAGAATTTTCCGTGAATTTTCGAAATTTGCAAAGTTGAAATCATCGCAAAAGAAAACGCCAATGTTGTGTTACCCCGGATTCTGGCAACCTGCCATCGATTCGATACTTTGTTACGTTGCGGCTCTCTCGTGCACTTGATGCGTCCATTATGTGTACGTAATGCGTGAATGAATAGCGCGAATCAAAGATAAGAGAAAAAAAACAACGATTACAATATTAAATCATTTACCATTAACATGAACAAAAGAAGTAATTAATGAAGATACCGCCTCATTTCTGCAATATAATAAGTATGTCACACATAATATCCGAACGAGATGAATGAAGTAATGTAGCTCAAAAATGCTTAATCATCGCGAATTGATGCAACATGGTTGCGCGCGGTATAATAATTTTCATCAGTTGCGCGCGCACTCGTGACCCAATTTTCACGTTTGTGGAACCAACTCAAACACGTTTCAAATTAATCCCCAGGTAATAACGAAATGTCAAGAAGTTTTGGAGTGTTCTCCCTTGCAGAACAATACTGTCATAGTGCATTGTTGAGGAAGGGGGGAAGAAGGCATCTACCGGTAAAGCAGTAAGATGATTCATCCTGCAATGCGTTTGTTTTCTCTTTCACCTGAGAGATCTTGTGGATGTCTCGTATCCGTAGACACAACAAGGATCGGTGTAAGAGAGCAGTAACCTCAAAGATAGTGTAAATCTTCACAAATTTCAACATAGAAAGGGAGAAAATCTTACGAAACAAAATTTTCTTAAGAAAAAAAGTTGCGAATTGATTAATCGATAATAACATTACTCACCTGTCCTGAAATTCACGACGATATCTATAAGGAATATTGTGTCGGAAAGGCAGTTAAAGGCTATCCACCTAGTGCTTAGGTCGTCATTGAAAAAACTAATGGCGACTGGCAGAATTATCAGATTAGCTACCAATAGGAGGAGCATGCAGAGGTCCCAGTAAAATCTGAAATAAAAAAGAAAAGGAAACGATACTTCAGAATTAGTGTTTATTTGAAATCGGAAAAAAAAGAGATTTTCCAGGTCAACATCAAAGGTCTGTCTATAGTAGCACTTACGTCTGTAAACACTACTAAAAAGAAAACTTCTTTTCAGTGGCTTAAACCGAAAAATCTCTTTTATTTCTTTCATATCAACTGAATTACAGTTATTTACCAAGTAAAAACGTCAATTCATAAAAGCTTTTGATAGCCTCTTCTAGTTTAGGATTTAACTTTTTATTTCGCTTTGATACACACGATAGTCGTTTTGCGTTCCCAGTATAAAACGCTTTGGGATAATGAGGATTGTAAAGATTGTCTTCGCAATCTCGGTTAAACTAACTTTTAAAACTTGATTTAACTCTTGCCTTTACCATAAATTTCTAAAGGCCGGATCTTACTTTCTTAACCTAATATTTTCCTGATGAAGTACAGATGTAATCTAAGAAACCATATAGTATATACGTATTCTTATTTATTTTTTACCTTAATATATTTTTATAACATTAATGTACACAACTAAAATAACAAACTTCGAAGAGAGCGAGTTAAGTGAACACATTGCTCACATTGATCACAAATACTGTACAAATATATTGTACATTTTATTATGCTCACCGGTGCGCAAGTCTATTTTACGTTCAAGCCGGTTCTAACCAGTTACGGATTTATTAGTCTGCAAAGTGGCAATCATGAATAAAAATGGGCGACTTTTCATCTATTTCGCAGGGGAGGCGTGAGATTCATAGCGTGCTGCAGAAGACGCGGGGCGATTTCTCTGGGGAAGATCAGAAAATGTAAAATACACGCCTCTCCCCCTTGGTACTTTATACTTTTAAATCCGAACATTTTCCCAGCAACGTTTCTGTCAAGCATGGAACTGTCGACCGAAACTCGTTACGACTCGTAACGTTTGACGTTTCGTAATTTCTATTCGACTATTTTAGATTTTATTTAATCGAACGAATTAGTTCTAAATTAATATAACTGCGATAAAATGCAAATTGAAATACTACGAAGATTGAATAAACGAGATTGATTTTCTCGAAACGGCGATTCACGGAATCGCGGTTCTTGAAATGCAGATCAGATTAAATCGATTACACGTACTAATGTATAATTAATTATGCTTTCAAGCAGAGATCTCAACACTAAATTGAAGCCACCAAAAAAATGAGATTTTTTTTTCTCACTCTCATCAGCATCAATCTCGGTATAATACGAGTGTCCCACGACGGACATTTTCGCGAATGAACATTGACAACTTTACAGAGACTAGGCCGCAAAATGCGACGGTTCATGAACAAACTCGCCCAACATTAATTTCGCAACTTCAAAATTTTCAATCAGATACGCGTGTGGCAAAGTTATGCACCGGCGAGCTATTTAGTTGTAAAATGTTTCGACTTTTCTACGGTCTAATGAGAACGGTGACTAATGTGTACCATGACGAAATTGCACATACATCATGTATGAATACGAATCTACTCTTTTCGTGTCTATGTCTACTTGTTTTTTTTTTTTTTTTTTCATTAACTCTTTATTGTCAGACGAATGAATTAGATGCAGTAGTATTATTAGCGTATGTTTTGCATGCAAACGCATCCTGTCGCTTAGGCGCATATCAATATATTCGCGGAAGGAAGTGACACTCGTGCGTGTTTTGTGTCGGGACGAAGTGGAATCTTCGAATAGAATTCTTTGTCGCGCGAGTATTTTTATTTAGTTTCGCATACAGAACATCGCGATTACACGTTATTCTTCATAGCAGAGTACAACAATGCAAACATTTTTTTATTCGGACACAAATTGTACGTGCGGCGTATTTTTTGAATTTGTTTTTACACGCGAATAGCAGACAGAAGAAAAAAATATTCTAATCCAAGCGCGATTGTTATCAAGTGCGTGCAATTTAATTAGATCATGCGAACACGCAGTCGATAAGCCGCAGCCGTATACTCCATTTAAACTTGAACTTAAGCCGATAAACCACACGCGGGCACACCGTGCTCAAGTCGACATTAGTTCTAATTAATTAAATAGGTAATGTTTGCAAAACGCGTCAATGGTATATATTAGAAGTTTAAAATCATATCATCTCTCTCTCTCTCTTTTGGTGTCTTGAAACAAGCGCAATCCAAGTTCTGCGGCGAAACTTAATCTCATTATTGCGAGTTGATCTTTATATGTATGGCTAAACTTTAGAACAAACCGACGAAACTTTTGTTAAAACCTTATAAATTAACATATTACATAGCCTCACAAAAGAAATATTTACATGAGAAAAACATTTTATATTCTGAAAAACTTGAGGGAAGTATTTCTCGTCTGTGTGCTCGAAATAATATCGTGGATTTCTTTTGTTTTCTTTTTCGTTGTAATTAATTTGTGTCATTCCAGTTTTTGCGATAAAGTGTTTCGTGTGTGTACATCCTTTGACCGAGAGACGGGCGTCACCACACGATTTACATTCGACACTATAGTCAGATAATCGCAACCAGGACAACGAAGAGGCGGCATAACCGGCAAAAAAAGATATGAAACTTACTCGAGACACGCAAGAATTTCGTAGCGTGTTGAAACACAGTCGTAAGTTTCTCTCCGTATAGAATATCTGAACAAAACGAAACGTCTTTGCGCTATAATAAATTGAAGCAAGCCAGTTTTGCCGGAAAATTAAACGTAATTTCGACGATGTTGGAAGCGAGAGAAAAAGATTGATAGGCGATCGATCTCGGGTACGACTGCAGGTCCGAACAATTCTTTCCATTATGACGTGCGCGCCGTTTGTTTCAATTCACGGCTCATGTTTCTCCATGAGTTATGCTCATGCGGAAACATTTTCTCGAATAACGCGCGCCTGCCCTGGGGGAATTCGGATTATAATAGCTCGCTTTATATGTCGATACAATATCGCATTGTCGAGAACGTGAAGCGCAACGAGAAAGAATTTCGCTCATCGATTTTCTCGAGCAAGAGCCATATCGCGACTATGGAAAAGCACTTGTATATATATGTGAGATATATCCAAATTCAAGATTTTTTACATTATAATTGATATCGGTTCCCTTTCTCTCTATCGATCTATCTAATTTGCTTGCTACGTAAAGTTATATATCAAATGAAGCAATTAGCTGAACTCGTAAAAAGAGAAAACAAAGCTGTATGTATGTAGAAATCTGTGGATACTCGCCAACTGTCCTAAAAGCTATCCGATATTCGGCAAACGACGTAGGCGTTTATGTCTATACGTATAATTTCTTCTTCGTACAAAATTTACATTTCAGCTTAACCGCGTCTTCCAATACTTTTATTTCCGCTGAAACCTATAACCTAGAGATATAGAACAGACATTTATTAGTATTTTTTCGAGCGTACCTTTTAGCATATTGGTGTAATTTTTAATTTCTCTCAATCGCTCATACAAATAATATAGTCGTAACAAAATAATAATATCCCGAAAAGTGACATCGTAGATTTTCATATTAGTGCAATGTTCACGCGATGAAATGAATTAACGACCCGTGAAAAATTACATTTTGTCCGAGTGGCCAGATATCTCTCTCTCTCTCTCTTGGAGGTTTTTGTATTATTCGGACTTTTTCCATGTGCATGTAGTAACACGCGCTAGACAGTGACCTAGAAACGTTTGCGAGAGTACGCCGATAACCATACATCCAGATTAGATTTATGCCGCTTTTTCGGAAGATCTACTTTAACGAGCGGGGGGGGTGGCGAGCATCCTGAATTTGAGACAATTTACCACCCGTTCTCGCCTTTCAGAGATACTTTTTCTCGACTCGCACGTAACTTTATTCGCAGCGAAGTTACAACGTATTCAACAAAATTAGTGATAATTGGAAATAATTTAATGTAAAAAAGAGAGAGATATAACGATCTTATTCATATTTTCTAATATTTTCTATGTCAGCTTTTTTTATTGAGAGACATGTGTGTCTTGATTGATGCTTCGCATTTCTACTTATTGCAATTACTCCGCCGCGTGGACAAAACGTGGAGAGTGTACAAAACGTGTATGAAGCTGTTGCGCAAAATTACGCCTATATGTTCCGATCTCCGCGGCGCGTTTGCATGATATCGATGAAATACGATCTTGTACGCGCGCTTCATATCTTATTCGCCAAAAGGCGGATACATTATTGTCCTAGTTTCTCTTCCTGAATATCTCCAGCTACTCCTTTACCCGCGCGAGAAGCTGACCACATTAATCTTAATTTGCTTTGGACGATTTCGGAGTATAACAGAGCCGTACATCAAAAACTTTTCCATCCAAAGCATTGAGTCTTTTCAAGACTCTCGTGATCTTTCCTATCTGACGGCAGCTTCTTCTTATATCCTTCTCATGAAAAAATGCGACACGCCGGAGAATTGCCATGTCAGAAGGATGAATGATTTTTGGCCGGGAATGCTCGCGATCCATCTTGCGCTCCAAGATGAGACTGAGAGCGCGTCGTGTCGCTTTTAAATAAGAAACTCTTGTAATTAAAGATCCTATAAACGATATCTACGAATTTCGATACTAATGTTATCGGCGTGAAAATATGATTTATTCGACATAGAAGCTGAAGAAAGTATTACTAAGTATAAAATAACAAAAAACTTAAAGTATATTTAAAGTATAAAACCTATAATTTATTATGTGCGTATCTCACAAAAACGTGATCTGTATTTATGTGACGTTTTATAATAAGACATGTCGTATTTACAATGGAAAATGAAATTTGGTGATTTACAATTGGATTTTTTTGCGGAGTTGATTAGTTTTTTAATATTTCTAGTATTTTTCGTTTTTACATCCACATATTCTTCTGTCTACAATTGTGTGAAATCATGTAAAATGAATATTTGAGCAAATTACTCATTTGTCTATCGTTGAGGCGTGGCTGTGAGGGAAGTGTGCCGTCCAGAACGTCCTACCGCCGCGCATATTTATACGTTGAGGATT